AGGCCAAAAATGGGCAAACTGCACAACATAAAATGATGCACTCATTCACATCAAAAACAACCCATCTTACACACAGGTATTAAATCTGTCTCAAGTTCCATCTTTCTGCAGCAGCAGCTTCTAAATGTACTATCAGATAGTATTCATTCTGAAAAAAAACTGCAGACTTATGATCACAGTTATTTTATACTTCATCCCATAGGCGTCGTTTTCTGATGACAGTGCTCTCTGAATGAATGATTAGGAGGACATGGCATTCATCAATTTAAGAACACAGATGCAAACAATCCTGCAGTTTAAGGACGTGTTCATGAATCTACTTTTGACTTTTCTTCAGAACGAGTTGAATGAAAATGTTGTGAAGATGTTGCTGAAGGAGGCCAGATGGTATTGTCTGGCTAATACACACAAGAGTAAAAAGTGTTGAATAGGGAAGCTGCTGAGTGGACACAGATTAACAGTTATAGCATCTCAATGCAAATCCAGACGTGCATCTTCATTCATGAAGTAGGGCCTCCTCAAGTCAATGTTTGCATGAAATAAAGCAAATTACAGTTAAACAACTACATCACTCTAATTTTTGCTCGCTGGGCCACATCAAGAAACGTAAGGAGTAAATGATGTTTGGTTTGGGGTTTTTACATTTCAATTTAGCCCCAGGCCTGGAAACCATTAAGGCCTAATCTGAATCCTGGTCAGTGCTTGCTCCCTGGAGCAGAAAGTAGGGTTTTATTAGCATCAAATCATACGCAGCATTGAGAATTCTCACACACACACAAACACACACTGGCATAGACCCAGCCCACGTCCAATACTGGCGAAACAGCATCTCATTACTGGCCATTAGATTTGTATTACTTTCATTTGAACTGGCAATACATCTCATATTCATAAACGGAACAAAGTCACAACATGAAATAGTGACACAGCTGCATGATGGGAGCTGAGAGACAGGGCCAGGAACAAATGATTCATAAAATGAAACAGTTTGAAAATGTCGTTTATGATCAGGGGCAGACTGTTACTGACAAAATGTAACGCCCACTAATGTGCTGACAGCTTTGACTGCTGTGGGTAATTAAGCAGTTAAAAACGTCAGGTATTGAGTGAATTTTTGTCCATTTTTTTTCCTTTGGAGCCAAAATGTAAATGTATGTGTGTACGAGTGAGCAAGAGGAAGGAAATAGAAGTGAGGGCAAGGAGAGTGAAACCTCCTCCATCTCTTTGGCACAACGTCCACACTGAGTATCTCTCACTGATGGACACAGCACATTAACAGGCTCATTATCAACCTCCCACCATATGGACTCGGGCCGGGGTGGGGTCAGAGCCACGGCCGCCCCGATCTGCGCCCCCCTAATTAGGACAATTACGCCATCTCCATCACAAGGGCCGGTTGCACAAAATGGTGTCGCGCCCTCGCCGAGATTGGTGTCACCAAGTCCAGACTATGAGAGGCGGCGGCGGGAGGAAGCTGCACAGGCAGCGCCGTGCTCACAGAGCAATTACCCCGGGTGTGAGGTGGCAGAGTCGGAGGGCGGGTGTGAGAGAGAGGAGAGAGCAAGAGAGGTCGAGGGCAAGTGAATGGGAGGAAAAGAAACAGAGACAAAATGGACAAGAGATGCAAGAGGTCTGGGGTTAAAACCTGGATCACAGTGAGAGGTTATAGTATCAATGAAGTTGACATTTTGTGACTTTTGGATGGATTGAGTGTGTGGATGTCCTACTGTACAAGGACAGGGGGGGGGTTTAGTCAGTCATTTAACCTCTAATGGTCCCATTGAAGTGAAGTCTCTGTTCTGGGAAAGGAATAGTTTGACATTTTGAAAGTGTCTTGCTGAGCCAAACAGATTGATGTCCGCAAAGTACAAAATAACCAACACCTGCTCACAGATAAACACATCTCCAACACTCAGGAAAAAGTCTGAAGGGAATGTAAAATACAAGATGATTTCTTTATAATGCACCTGAGGAGACCAGCTACTACTTTCAACTTTTGGCTGAAAAGGATTCATTCAGTCACGCCAAGATAATTACATATTTCTTTTTGGATTTGCTGTACTCATAATGAATATCATGTCAGAATAATTTCCTTTCACAAGCACTTCAGCAATGATATAAACCAAAGTTTCAGGAGAATGACCCCACCTCACCTCACCGAGCTCTCTCCTCTTGTTCTGGGATTCTGCACCCCTTCCTCTCACCTCTTTCTCTCTATTTCTGTCCGTCCTTCTATCTGTTAGGGGCCTGAGGGTGTTTGGTTGTGCCCAGGAGCTATGACAGATCCCCTTCTAAGCGTCCCCAAATCGATAACGACAAGTTGCTTAACATCACCTAATTCTGTATCATCATTCCAATATTAGTAATAAATAATTGTCAATTGCATTCCATTGCTGTGGAGATATGTTGAAACTCATTTCCCATCAAGGGGATGGAAACTCCTTAGCACCCTCCCTCCTGCCTTAATGCCAAATCTGATCTATATGTGGTCTCAGCTGTTGGATCTCAATTGATCCTCAGGAAACATGTGGATATGTTCACACCTAGCATCAAGACTTTCCACTTGTTATCAGATCCTCCAAGATGGATGTTAATCACAAGGTGTAAACAGCCTCAGAGAGATTGGCCAATGACTTCTGAAAACTATTTCTGGTTGCTGTCTTGTAGCTTCATGTTGATTTGGTAAGAGGAGTCCACATTTGCTAATGGTCAGGTGCCAATAATAGACCAAAACAAACAGGAATAAAAGCCCCCGGAAGGGTATTTTGGAGCCTATACGCTGAACCTAAACCTTTGACAGTTTGTGAAGTGTTCAATATTTTGGCAATCCAAAACGAAAAATGTGAAATGTTTCTCATCAAAATGTAATTTACAATTCTGACAGAACATTTATAATTAACTTAACTTAACTGGGGCACAATCCTAGGATTTGCGAGACAAACACTACGAGGCAACTGAATCATACTGCACTCACAACTTGTGATATATTTGAAAAGTTGGGAGTGAGAACATGCTGCAACACCATACTGAAAAAATATGTACACATTTGTAAACAGATGTTTGGGGAGAACTATGCAATTCTACATATTCCCGGGCCAATTAGATATAAGTTCAGTAAATAGCAGGTATTTAGATGCTATAGGCTCTATATTGCAATAATTAGGCCCCATTCATTGGAAGTGTTGTTCGTTTGATCTTCAGACAAAGAGCACACTTGACTTAAAGCTCATCTTCAATCCAAAGCAGACTCACTTCCCCAGTTTTCCCTGTGACTACCTGATGTTCAACCAGTGATGTTTTATTTTCTTCCTTTCATAGCAGAATCCTTGAGTCTTAAATTAGGCCCTGAGGGGTGTCTGCAGATCGATAGGCTCACCGCAGGTGCACGCCGACAGAAACAACAAGAGAAGGCATTTTCTCCCCCTTTCATCCGAATAAAACAAGCTTGATTGGGAGCGATGAGTGGGGAGAAGTGCGTGAGTTCCTGTCCACCACTGGCTCCTGGCTTTACACTTGTTCCTGCAGCCTGTGTTCATTAGGCAGGCGGGGTATTGACCATGTTGTACAGCAAAACGGAGATCAAGCTGGGTTACAACAGGGACGCCAGAATTCCTGAAACAAACTGGTATTGATTTGAGTAAGTAAGTTGAATAAGCAGTATACAAGAGGCCCCATGTCAGGACCAAGCACTACCTCTGCTTCCATTTTACTGCATGTTGCTGCTAACATCGGCTGCCCTTATTGACTACATTTGAGTACAGTTGAGCACATTCGAGTATTCAACGCACTTGGATCAGTATGAAACTATATTTTGCTTTCAGCAGGGTCAGATTTTCTCTTTCAAGGAGGAGGGCCCATATCTATTCAACAGCAGGGACTCTAAAGCAATAATTAGGCCTTTTGATAAAAACATATTTTGAATGTTTCTGAATGATTAAATTAATGAATAACATAAATGAATCACTCTTTTTTTATACTTGCATCATACTGCAAGTGAAGGACACAGAGCAGCTGTATAAAGTATTTATTTTAAACTACATAAAATGAAAGATGAATAAAAGAACGGCCTATGAAACTTGGGTTTGGGTGAGTAAATATTCAAATGAGAATATGAGATGAATCTTTTGACTTTCAATGATTCACTGGTGTTTTTAAATGAAACAAGGTAGATGGAGGATCACTGCTAATGTCATTATGTGAACAGTTGGATGAGTTCAGGGATCATGGCATAGAATGAAAAAAAAACATTATGTTGAAGAGGTTTTGCTAATCTTTCCACTCAACACTGAATTTGATCAGATTTAATGGATGATATTTTGAAGATCAGGATGTTTGAGAAATAGAGAAGAAATCCCACATTAGTTCTTTTAAATTCTGTCTACTTTTAGCATGCTGCAGTCCTCAACACCAGGATCAATTGTTCCCCTGGGTGGTAAACAGCTCATATAGAATGAATTCAGATTGTTTTCTCCCTTGCCATCTTTGTTGGAGCCTCATGTGACCGTAAGGATGACATACAGTATAAACTGTTAAGATAAATAAAGTAAGAAATAGACTTACATAGTCTTCTGCTTGCACTGAAAACCAATACAGTTTAAATGCACTAATTCATTGGTTTCACTAGTGAAGCTAGAGTCTACATTCACTCCTTATATTCATTCTATTTTAGGCAAATTGGCAAGAGTACTGCCATATTTCATTTTGGGTCTGTTTAAAACTGATTTTAAACTACTCTGCCTTTGAATTTTACTGTAAGTATGACCTAATCAACTAATTAAAAATATGTGGTTTTATAAGAAGCCCGTGGTTTAGAAGAGCTAATGCAGAGTTACCTTTAAATGCCTTATTAATGAATGACATTTGCTGAGAGAATGATACTGAAACTTCCGCTTCCTCTGCTCCTCCTATTGGTCATTGGACTGTTGAGAAACTTTTCCCCTCACGCCATTGGCTGTGGGGCGTAGCGGGGAGGGACAACTTTCAGGAAGTGGTTTCGGTTTTTGTTTTTGCTTTGCACTGGACGACAGGGGAAGAGACTCGGGGAGATTGGTCTCTTTAAAGTATAAATAAGGGCAGTTCGTCGGTATGTTTCTCAACGAAAAGGTCCACTGACGACGTACTACTGCTTGAGTTATCTCCGGAGGTCGGTGTATGTATGAGCATGATAAATAACATTAGCTTCTTGTAGCTGGTAGAACTACTACATGCTGAACAGCAGAGTTATTTATATTTTAACTTCCTCTCCTTTTACGGGGTTTTGGTTGGTAAAAAAGATAAAATATGTGATTATAAAGTAAGTGTGTTGCTAATAACGACTGTTACTATAGCTACCAGTAGCACCCCTCTCATAAAGACAGTTACCACATCATTTACAGTGCTGTGGTTTTCTTAATGAGTCAGTCTAATGACTTCAAGCTGACACATGTTTCAATATAGTAGAGGAACTTGGGCCCCTAAAAGTTGAGAGACCCCTACCCGAGGTAGAACAAAGCACAACCATATTTTTACATGTTATTCCTAATACATTTTGTCTCATATTTTCTATCTTATATATGATTATATGATGACACTCAGAGTCAGAGTCTGCTTTCAACAATATTGTCACCTATGACATTGTTTCTATTTTAGAACTGGCGGTATAATGGTACATAGCATTATGTTCCACTTGGCCTCTTCACTGTTTGAACCAGGTTTGCTTAAATAACTTACTGACATTACATTCATACCTGTCGTTGGTTTTCATAAAAATATTTCTTCCACACAGTTCCTTGAGTTTGTGCAGTTTTTATGGCACCAAAAAAGACAGCGTTACCCAAACCGCTCCCACAGGGCTTCATACTGACGGACACTGAGAAGAAGAAATGGAGACTTGGGGAAATCATCGGTCAAGGGGGCTTTGGACTGATCTATCTCGGTAATAGGAATTATTTCCCTTAAAACGTACCCTTTAAATATACAATCTGTCCCATAAAATATAAATAAGTAGATACATGCTAACCAACTGAATCAAATTCCTTCTCTTACTGCCTAAATCAAATGTTATTTCAGAGTGCCTATACTCTGATTGATCAGGTTCATCTTGATTGTAAAGCTTTTTGATCCGATCTGATTTCTAAGGATAGTTTCAACCCTCCAGCTTGTTGAGTACTTTTTCTCTTTAATGTCTGAAGACGTTAACAATCAGCTACTATTCCAGTTTACACATCCATAAAAAAAAGAAGAAAGGTTTAGCATATGTTTGTAGCCTGCGTTTGTCTGTACTTTCCCTCACTGTCTCCTGTTGTCTCAAAGCCTCCCAGGATGTAGACCGCCCTGTTGCAGCAGACACGGACTTTGTCATAAAAGTGGTGAGTAAATCTGTTCTGCACAATCATAGACACCCTATCTATGTTAGGCAGGGCCTTATAATCCCATGGTTGATGTTTTCTGATGTCATTTTTTGTATAAAAAATATAAACATAGAGCCAAGGTTTGAATCCCCTTAGCTCGATGAAAGAACATGATGCGCCTCCAGTTTTAGTTACACAAATAGAAAAACATATCATTTCTAATCTGCTAAGACTTTAATACCAGACATGTTTCTTTTTTGTCAATCCTTGTGCTTCTTTAATCAGGGATAAGAGGTATTTAATAATGTATGTGTGCTTCTATGTGCAGGAGTACCAGGAGAATGGCCCCCTGTTTTCGGAGCTCAAGTTCTACCAGAGGGCAGCCAAACCAGAGAGCAGTGAGTAGCACCTCCCGTCCAGCGCCACAGCAGCTCGCCGGAGCATGAGTGTGTTTGACTGATGAAGTGGCCGCAGACACAGAGGCTTAGCTGCCTGCCGCACCGTAATTAATAATAAGCCAAAGCAAACATGCACCTCGGTGGCAGTTAGCCCCCCCTCTCCGTGCTTGTCTGAGCTCTCCAACGCCTTCGTTATGAGAGGGAGCCACTCACACGTAATGATGGCCGGGCCTCCGCTGAGCCCCTGACCACCTGCCAGCCTGGTTGAGCGCCAGTCAGGCCAGCCGCCATAGAACCCCGAGCCAGGCCTACTGCTTTGTCTGTGTGTGTGTGTGTCTGTGTGTGTTTGCAGTTGTTTTCATCCTCAATATTGTAAGATTGATATTTGCACATATGCTTTAATACCCTTTCAAGGACAATTTGGAATTTGGACAAAACTTCAGCTTCCTTCCACGGAATTTGAGGGCCTTTGTTCAGAAAACTCTTAGAATTGAGGAGGTGTTTTGCCTGGGGTTAGTTCAAGGTTATGGTACCATCAGACTCTCATCAAAAGTTTGTATAGTTGCCAGCCATTCCCTTTAAATGTTTTTTTAGTACAACTCCATGGTCCACAGGTTTCTGCTTCTTCAATACATCCATTGTGACTCTGAGTTTAATGTAGCTGGTGGTTTGACTCCTGTTATTCAGTCTATTCAGAAATATAATTTAAGGGTTTGAAAAGATATGTGCCAACACAACTTGACATTATTTTTTCTTTTTTTGTCATAACAGTGCAGAAATGGAAGACAAGCAGGAAGCTGGACTTCCTTGGCATCCCGACATACTGGGGGTCAGGGCTCGCTGAACATAATAACCTCAGGTAATGTATTTTTTTTTTAAATGCTGATATGTCATGTGGAAAAATATAAATTTATTCATCAAAAGGACATGTGCAGTAGGGAGCTGGCTGGCCAAACCAGAGAGTTGACTGGTTTGGCTCTGGTGAAGAACTCTGCCAGGAGCCGCATTTATCAACAGAGCTGTTGATAGTGATGTTCACCCACTCTTCATAGCATTGATTAAACTAATAATCAGAATGATAGGAAGTAACTATAATGATAGAATCCAGGTATGACAAACATTTTTTATGTGTATTTTAACTTTATAGTTTGACCTTTTTCCCATCTGTTAACATGGACTTATGACCTATACTGCAGTCAGTCAATAGGGGGAGCTCTAAATATTTTGGCTTCACTTGAAAGGCTGCTGTTGCTTTGTGCTTCTTGATAAACAGTCTATGGGTCTGATCGATACTTCGGGGGACTTGGTAAAAAATAGGACATCAATTGAAAGCATACAAAGTTAAAATCACTGTGTGATCACTTTGATAATATTCCACCATAACATGTACTGCAAGGCTGTTTGAACACAGCTGTTTTTTAATCAGGAATTAGAAACTGGGAGGGGTTTAAGAAACTTGAAAAACACATGTTTTTGTTCTCTCTTCTGCAGGTATCGTTTCATGGCTATGGACCGCCTGGGCAGTGACCTTCAGAAAGTCTGTGAGAAAAACGGAGGTCGTCTGAAGAAGGCCACCGTGCTGCAACTTAGCCAAGGACTGGTGAGCTCATCTTCATGGAGTAAAAGGACAACCCTGTTTTTTTTTTATTGTTCATTGATTGTTGTTCAAAGCATCTGGATGGAGCTCGAGCTTGTGTAGTCCAGATAATAAAAAAAAAACCCAGGGTCAAATGTCACTTAAACAGATAACAAACTCTTTAAACCATGAGAGTAACAGAACATATCTGGATATTGTGCATCCACTCAAACACCTTCACAAACTCCTCATTATAAGTGTCTCTGTTTCTGTTTGTACCAGGTGTCCGTTCTGGAATATATTCATGAACATGAGTACGTTCATGCAGACATTAAAGCTGCCAACCTCATGCTGGGTTACAGAGACCCTGAACAGGTTAGTCCACAGCTGATCACTACAAATAATCCTGCATGTGCACGGGGGTGAGGTCTGCTGTACTCTACAGTATACACTTGCACATTACAGAACACGAAGTTATCAGGTATCTGTTTTAATCAGGGTTATTTCTTTAAGATGACAAAAGTATTCACTCTATCAGTTTAATGGCTTTGAAATAATTGCTCAAATGAGTGTGTGTATGTGTTTCCCGTTGTGTGTTTTAGGTCTACCTGGCAGACTATGGGCTGTCTTACAGATATTGTCCTGATGGGGACCACAAAGAATACAAAGAAAACCCCAAGAAGGGCCACAACGGAACCATGGAGTACACCAGCCTTGATGCCCACAAAGGTCTTGGTAAGCTCTAAAATGCATGAGACGTAGAGGTCTGGTTCATGAACAGAGATAATTGCTGCCTTCACGTGCTCCTTAGAAACATCGTAACTGCCAGTTGTACAGTCGTTAAAACGGCATGCACGCGTTCAAGTACTCTTGCAGAAAGAAGAACAAAAAATGAGCTTCAGGTAAACGTCATTACCAATGTTAATATACTCAACTGGCATGATTTATAGTTAAGGCGTGCCTGCTTGTTACTGCTAATAGAACACTAAAAATAAATGTGAGCTTCTATTTACAACAGCTATAATTTTTTCTTTCTACCATTCTCCCATGAAAACTCAATGCATAAGTTACAACTCAGCAACTTGAATATTATCAAAATTTCACAATTTCCCACTCGTAATTACGACCGGAGGGCCGTTTATGCTCATAACTCTTTAATAAAGTAAATGCGATATTTCCCAGGAGCACATGAAGGCAGCATTTGTCCTGTAGCAATGCTGCTACAGGCAGCCATCTTTGGGTGATAGAGTTATTTTTCCCCTCTTAAGGGAACAACAGTGAGGTAGACAGTTAGCTGCTTCATGGCATGCTGTGAAACAATGCATGCGCAGTTCTCTCAAACATTAAAAATACTCCCATCAAAGTTAAACTGAAAATATGACACACATGTCAATCAGCAGCTCAACTGAATGGCATATTTCCCCCAATGGTTTTTTTGTTTTTTCCCTTAACAAGTCACAGAGTATATGTCATTGTAGGTGCCAGGACTAAACATCTGCACACACAAAAACGACACATAACAACTAGAACAAAGATATACTCTGATTTGTCTCAAACTGCTGATTTCACTAAGAAGAGTTTTGATTCTGGTGTTGAGTAATTTGTTGATGAATGACACTATAGCAAAAATGTATACATGTTGACAGTATTTATTTCAACTCTGCAATGGACTGTGTCCCATTTAGTTCCCAGTCTTGCTTTGTCAATACATGTAAAATAGCCTCCCTGCCCCGCCACCCTCTGCCTCCCTTGGCTGATATTGGGAACACATTAACTGGCAAATTGCCTACATGCTCCCTCTCTTCATTGACCATCGATTCTCCATCCGCAGCCCCTCCTGAATTCCCCGGTACCGTCTCTGTTTAACAATTCCCTAATTAGCTGAAGTCATAACCTGCATCGTGTATTCATCCCCCATTAATTAAGGGCTTTGATGTTTGGTTAGAGCGAGGCACCAAGCCACAGATAACCTCTGTGAGCTTCCACACAGGCCAACTCCACTCCTCCTCCGGTTCGATACTGTGAGTTAGCATGGTTCAGACTGCCTAATCGCCTCGGTAGTGTTTCTATCAACAGGATCGATGAGTAAAAGAGGGCCAGAAAAATGTCCCCGTCAGCAATAACTATGAGATGAAAGTCAATTTTAATATGATTGAGGAAGGAGAAGGGAAAGAGTGAGAGAATTCACCTTTTACCACCCTGAATGAAGAAATGTGCTCTCATAGGCAGTGTTGGGTAACGTTACTTTTTATTTTGTTTTTGGGGCTTTCTGTGCCTTTATCGTAGAGATAGGACATTGGATTGAGTCAGAAAAATCAGGGAGAGAGAGACCGGGGAACGACATGCGGGAAAGGGGCTACAGTCCAGAACCTGGGCGGCCCACCCAGAGGACTACAGCCTCTGTGCGCACTAAACACTACGCTACCAGCGCCATGGTAACGTTGCTTTAAAAAGTTAAAACTTGTGAATTTACAAGATTATGCTCAAATGCCACAAAAAAAGGGTTTTATTAATCACAACGTTTTGACCAGAGGTCTTCTTCAGGTGATATTTTTTTTTAAATGTCCAAAGGTTAAAGACATCTATAATGATCATCTCTAAATGGCCTTGAAAACGTGGTAAAACCAAAAGAGATGAGCATTGTTTAAACATAAATCCAGTCATCGATTACATCCGTCTTTTAAAAAACTGTACACACCTCCAGCATTGGAAAGAAAACATGTTCATATTGTCATCTGAAAACAAATGAAAATCCAAATCGTGATGCATTTTTTGTATTTTGAGCTTCATTTGACGAGGCCACAAACACCTGCTTAAAAACAGACGAGTGTACTTTCCACTTTGCGCGGAGATTATGACAGAGGACGAGACCCTTACCTACCCTTCTCTGACCTGATGGCACCAATCCCTATAAAGATGTTGACAGGTTGCCATGGTGAGGTTTGGTTGAATTCAGCTGCCGACTGGCAGGCCTTTGAACTGCGAGCTAAACGGTGTAATTACCACTATTCGGTGGGCGTCCAGCGGACAGAAGACCAGCTCCGAACGACAAGACTGTGAAGCACAAGGGTTAAGAGTGTGACACTGCAGCATGCTTTAGGGAATCTGAATAACAATAGGAGATAATTAACAACAACACCGCCGCTGCCTCACCTCCCTGTCTAAAGCATGTAGAAAACGTGTGTGTGTGTGTGTGTGTGTGTGTGTGTGTGTGTGTGTGTGTGTGTGTGTGTGTGTGTGTGTGTGTGTGTGTGTGTGTGTGTGTGTGTGTGTGTGTGTGTGTGTGTGTGTGTGTGTGTGTGTGTGTGTGTGTGTGTGTGTGTGTGTGTGTGTGTGTGTGTGTGTGTGTGTGTGTGTGTGTGTGTGTGTGTGTGTGTGTGTGTGTCAAGGAACTTCCCTTTGAGAGCTGTTTAAGTGCGTATGCACATGCATATCTTTCTGCTCCACTGTCCTTTGTCTCCCCTCATGTGAGGGCAAAACACATTAAATACAGAAGAGCAGACACACACACAGTATTATGAGCTGCGATAAGGTGCCCAAAGCACGCACAGAGGGCAGCAGTGCTAAATGTAGTTGTTGATCTTTTTAATTGTTAATCTATTATGTTGCTCTGGGAGTTGCAACACTTTTTTTTCCAGTGTCAGTATCACATGTATTTTTCATCTTTATTCTCCTCTAACAGCCTCTCAGTAGCAATGAAGAGTTGTGTAATTATTTACAACAATAGGAAGCCCCCGCTGTAATGCTGAGTGAACGCATACTTTAATCCCACAAGGGCAACAAGACCTTTCATTCATCATCAGAGTGGCTCAGATGTAGTGTAACAGACAGTGACATACTTGAGAGTTGATGTTGTGGCCTAACCTGCTTTACACAGAGATATAATGAATTATTCATCAATACCACATTTCAAAGACACATTGATCATTTTGAAAAAGGTGCCTGGACCTCAACATGATTTCATACCTTCAAAGTTCTAAAATACCAACATGGACGGACAAGGGATTTGACTAATTAAGCATCGTCATCTTCACTAGGTGGCATTACTAGCTAGTGCTAGCTACTAGATAATTCAGACAAGCAATGCTGGTTAAATGTGTGTAAGCTAACAGGCAGCCAGCCGCCTCTAGCTGAGGATATAGCCCCGGTTAATGGCCAAAGTTTTAATGCCATAATTATCTACTTCTACTCCGATGTTAACCAGACCAGTGGACAGATAGCCTCTCGTAGCACAGAGAGGTTTTTGCAGTATTTTGAACTAACGAATATAATAATAATACATTTTATTTATAAGAACTGTTCAGAAACTCAAAGACACTGTACATTTGTTAAAAAGACAAATATAGAGTTGTGCATATGCCGTGTCAGGTTAATCTAGCAATCAACGACTTGACTCGAGCAATACTGTACACATAACCACAGGGATGTTAACCTCCAAGGAGGGTTGAAGGCTTGTGTCGCTAGCTCTGCTAACGTTAGCCACACTCGGCAAACCAATTTGACATTGTGTAGCTTCAGCTGCTGTGATCCCATGTTAAGGCGTGTTACATAAATTGTTGCTAAGTTTTGACTGTTTTCTGAGTGTTTTCTTTACATTAGAGTGGCCGACTTGTCTGAATTTTAATATTGGTTTAAATCGACAGGGAACATTGTAGCTAGAAACATCCCCATTAAGGACAACTGTGGACATGGCCCCTCTCAAACCCCTTCAACATTCTCTTTATTTACTATTCTAATTGTCCACTTTGATCATTTAAGTGACAATATCTAGATCATTTCAGGAAATTCTCCTGACCTGGCTGTTCACATTTGTACCTTACAGCAAAGACTATGCCCTTCAGACTGGAGGGGTGGGCGGGGGGGTCTCCTGAGGCAAGACGTGACGTAACAAAAATTGACGCTGACAGGAGGAACTCCGGATAAAGCCAGTAAATTAATGTGTCTGTTTGCTACTCCTGCTAAGATCAGGAGTTTTTCAGGAGTGTGAAAGCCCTGTTAGCCCTCTCATGTTTTGTTTTTCCCAGCTTACCCTGAAGTTTTTTTTGTTCAGGGACAATTACTCAAACATCTATTCTTCTCTTTAAAAAGAAAATATCTCCTATGTCTGGATATCTTAACTCGGGGTTTGGACACTCATATTTCATGAACAGAAATGTGGTTAACCTGTAACCAGATAACAGTCCGGTCCATTCCATGTAATCTGGTCCAGCGTGGCAGTGACCATGCTTCCTCTTTAGACCGGCCTGGATGGAGAGGATCAATGCGTGCTGTGGCTCAGGGAGGAGATTTCTCCCCCTCTGATGGAGCCAGTCGATAGGTAATTTCTCCAGAGACGTGTGGCGACCGTTACAGTATTGAGCTGTTAAAACTCCCCCGAGCTCGACCCCTCTGGATGGAGTTGGTCGACAAGTATTGATAGACCTCACACGTTAATGTAGACCCCTGCAATCAAACACACTCACTATAAGACACAAACACACTCCAGACTTGTGCTTGAAGAAAACTTAGTGCATGAGAAATCAAAACTATGTCCTACATGTGATTTCTTCTGTGTTTGAGAAATTAGAGTTAACTAAAGCGTTGTACTCAATACACAGACCTACATCTGTTTACAGTCATCTTATTCATAAAATAGCACTGAGGGTATTCATAGTGTTGTTACAGAACTGATTTTAATGCCTTTCAGCATAAGCGTCATTCCTTATGCATTAAGCAAAGAATAATGACCAACGAGGTGTCCATTATCAGGAACTAATGGATGACGTGGAGGCCTGAACTGTCCGACGTGCAGCCCTTACATAAACACTCACTGGCCACGTTATTAGCTACACATTGCCATTACTGGGTTGGACCCCCTCTTGCCTTCAGAACTGCCTTAATTCTTTGATGCACAGATTCAACAAGGTGCTGGAAACATTCCCCGGAGATTTTTGGTCCATAATGACATGACAGCATCACACAGTTGCTGCAGATTGACTGGCCGGCTGCATATCCAAGACCGGTCTGGAAACCACTTTTTGAAGGTCTCGTCTTGTAATGAAAAGCATTTTGACCCGGTCTCGTCTCAGTCTCACACTGGGTGGACTCAAAATTTTAGATCAAGACCCGTCAAAACCACCACTGATTTGCTTTTTTTTCAACGTCATTCCTGGGATTAGAAAGAAAACCCCTTTTGTGGTCTTGACTTCAACACTGCTGACTTTCAAGTATACAAAAAAGCTGGTTACAGCTTCAGACACTACTAAGACCCATTTTCACAGAATCCAGCCCCCACTTTGATTATCATCCTCTTACGTTTCTACTGTAGGTCATCTCACTGTGATTCCTTCATAGCTGAAATTATATAACAGAGATTAAATCAAAAGATGGAATCAGTTTCTTTTTTTGTAATCTGAAAAAAAATGTCAGGTGACACTTTGTGAGAGGGTTTCTTCACTTTTTTACTTCTTTGTGAGTTACCTTTCTACTTGACCTTGCAAACTGTCGCTTTGTGTCCAACCTTGACTCCTCTGGGGAAAGATTTGTTATTTAGAAATTATTTTAGGAGTGTATTTGTGAAAAGTCTTACCTTTCTATTGATTTTTCTTTTTTTTTCTTGAATTTTCTGAACCATTTTTGATTTTTTTGTAGAAATCTTTTTTTTCCCCAAGGAAATAACTGAACAAAGCTTTTACAAACTGACACATATAAGGGAGTCAGGAATGATCCATTGGTCAAAGTTAGAAGCAGTTTGTTAAGGTTAAATGTTAAACTCTCCCTGCCTCATCTTCCTGTCGTTATGTAGCTCCATCTAGACGGGGGGACCTCCAGATCTTGGGCTTCTGTCTTCTACACTGGTTATCTGGATCTCTGCCATGGGACAGCGATCTCAAGAACCCAGTGCAGGTCCAAGAGGCCAAGGCCAGGTAAGAAGTCACTTGTGAATTTTTCACAGCAGAGACCTCTGGTGAAAACATGTTTAGCCAGGTACTCTGTGGGGGAGTTTGTATATGTCCACAAAATACCATAAATATGTTAACATTTCCATTACCAAGCTTATTTTTCTACAGATGAATTGCATTGCCATAGATCCCTTTCAAAAAAATACATGTATGTCTCCAGATGTGAAAAGTGAAGCCAAAGTAGTATATTTAGGCTTCTTCTGGTGAAGCCTGATCGGTGTGCAGCTGCAGTGAAACAATCAACCAATCAGAGGACAGTTACATTTTACCTCCCTTTTTTCTTGAAGCACAATTTGTTCTTCTTTGTTAATAAATATCTTTCATTTGCCAAAAACATCTGGTTTTATTTAACATTTCTCTTTTCCCCAACGTGCAGTCATTACAATCACATTTTCATAATGCTGTGTCATGTTTTACATACAGTACATTTTCGTCACTGTTTGTAGGGTTTAGTGTGACAGGTCTTATCCATACAGTAGCTGGAGCAACAGGCCACCCCTGAACTCCATCGTTCAGAAGCACTCTGTTGATCTCTGCTTTATCTCCTTCTCGTTCCTCCTCTCTCAGGCTGATGGATAATCTGCCAGGCTCGGTCCAGCAGCTGTCTGTGAGTGGAGCCAGCACAGGTAAGCCAGGGACCACAGGGCTTCTTCAGGTTTTATTACATCATTTACACTTCTTAGGTTAATCGAAAAAGAAAAATAGAAAATTGGAAATAAGACGACAAGCCTGTGGAGAAGAGGGGAGGAATCTGTGTGTCTAATCTTCTGCTCTTTTAATGGAGAGCCAGAGGAAAGGCCAGAGCCAAAACTCATTTAGAAACCAGGCCGACATGCACAGGGTCTACCAGAGCTGTTCTACATGTGTCGTCCTGTATACATGCAGGGATGAAAGTTCTCCGTCACTACGACAAATTTCCGTCCAAAATTGTAATATTTTTAGTCAGTGTCAATCAGACCAAAAAAAAAAGTCGAGCAGAATGTGGGTTAGTGACAAATGTGCAAACTGTTGTTTTTAATGTCAGGCATTTATCTGAATCCTGTAACACAAGTGTAGTTTTGCGTCAGTGTGGCATTTCAATGTAGGCTACAGTCAGAACTTTTATCTGCTACGTGAAGTCGGCTCGGTGTATTGGAGGCTTTTATTGTGGTAGTGAACATCAGCGTGCACTGCCCGTCATGTCCGGACTTTTTTTTAGGCTCCGGTGCGCAATTTATTTACCAGACCAAAGATACCAGGGAAATAACAATCCTCAACATGACGGAGTTTACTGTTAAAGTTTTATTACGTGCAGGCAGAGCAGAGAGTCGCCGAGTGCTCCGCTACATGTAACATGGAAAAATAACTCTGAACAAGGAAAAAGGTCAGAGATCATTTAAATAATGAGTGGTAGTGGAATGTTTTAGAACTTTATCCAAAACACAAACTGACCATGGTATATATTTATTCTAATTAGCAAATACAATTACAGTATTTTGTAATTCAAAATGCAGGAATCATTTAAAGAGAATTACACTTTCGCTCTCATAACACTCTTTATGGGTTGAATGTTAAAATAGATTATTGCATGAAGACTTTCTGAAAAACCCCCTGCTATGTACTGCAGCTGAAAGCAGTGTGCAGTATGTACTGCCTACTGCATACTACGTGCATGGCAGTCTGTGTGTATTTTCCAGTATGCCAGTAAGCTGGTTTCTGGTCTTGGAATGCAGAAGTAAACAACAGTCCAGCTGACAGCAAACGCTGCTACAGTGGAGCCTCCACTGATGGTCTGAAAAAAAGCAGATTCATTTAGATTTTCATGAGTTTGGGAATCAAAAAAGATAACCGGTGGAATTTTGGGAAACAACAATACGTGAAAAGGACTGTTCTGATGCATACTGTGAAATCTTTATGAATCGGTACAACATTTTTGTCATTCTGCAGATTTCACATTTGTTCTCATACTGGTCAAATCAGTACGCTCTACTTGTGTAGTAGGCGTTTTCAAAAACAGCCTCATTCTGGGTTCTCCCGAATCACAGAACCGAGACGATCTACGATAACTTTGTACCTGTTAAAACAGCTGTCCCATTGACACGCCTTTCAAACTTTGTTGTGTTTTATCTCTCCTCTTTATGGAGAGGTCACTCCTGTGTGGAGGCTCACAGTGTGTGATGTATAGTTGGGACCGGGTGCTCCTCTGCTGACGAGGCCCAGCTGCCCGCCTCAGATAAGAGCCAGGGAATGCATCAACGGTGTGTGTGTGTGAGTGAGAGATACAAGTTGGAGTGCAGTATGTGTCATACGCGTCGTCTGGCCAGTGTGTGATGCATAGCAGCTGACTGTGTATGACACACACACACAACAAATGCATATCCACAGCTGTGCCATGCCTAATCTACCCTCTGTGGGAGAAACATTGCCAAGTGGTGTATTATCTGGACAGTGAGACCTTCAGGTTCATCTTGCCTGTGCTGCTCCATGACTCAGGTCTGCCAGAAATAATAAAACAGAGGATGCAGCGTTACTGAAGGCGGTGCTTGTATTAAATATTAAGTCTCAGTTAGTAAAATCAGTGCAGTGCCTGATAACAGCAACACGTGTATCAGATGGTTCAATCAGTGATTTACTACAAATGTAAGATTTAAATCTTTGACTTTTTATTTGAAGTTCACTTTGTTTCTGTCTTCAGATGAGGTGGCTGCATTCCTTCTTTATGTCAAAACCTTGGACTACCAGGAAAAGCCAGACTACCTGCATGTCAAGAAACTGTTGGGAAGTGTGGTCAAAGGAAAGCTTGACCTCTCTGTGCCTAAAGACCCTGCTGAAAAGCCCACCACCAAGAGGCAAGATCCTCCAACCAGGGAGAAGGTGAGAAGTTCCAGTCATCAGTCTATGAAAGAGGCCATAAAGTGCTCAGCTGAGTTATAACTAAAATCAAAGTCAAGTTTGGCTTTTCCATCTTGCTTAAGTTGGACACAGGATTTTTTGTTTGTGGCTAACCACAACAAGCGAATATATCATATATATATATATATCATATATCACCCAGAGATTCAAACCGTTTGGGTTCATTTCACCACTTCAAGAACTGTGTCATGACTCATTCAAGTACAGCTTTCATCAAGTTGGTCTGAGCCATATCCTGTATATTGAGATGGACGGGGAAACAGCCGCCTGGGAGTGAAGACAAAATATTTAGCACTCCCTCTGCAAGGCAAGGCAAGTTTATTTCTATAGCACATTTCAACAACAAGGCAATTCAAATTGCTTCACACAAGACATCAAAAGCATCAAGACAGAGTGATCCATTTTCTTGGTTTTGGTGAGGACTCTAGCAGCAGCGTTTTGGATCAGCTGTAGTTGTCTGATTGATGTTTTAGGCAGACCTGTAAAGACACTGTTACAGTAATCAAGACGACTGAAGATAAAAGCATGGACAAGTTTTTCCAGGTCCTGCTGGGACATAAGTCCTCTAATTCTTGATATGCTCTTCAGGTGATAGTAGGCTGACTTTGTAATTGTCTTAATGTGGCTTTTAAAATTGAGTTTTGAGTCCATCACTACGCCCAGATTTCTTGCCTGGTCTGTGGTTTTAAATCTTACTGACTGAAGCTGATTGCTGACTCTTAGTCGCTCCTCCTTTTGCTCCAAAAACAACAACCTCAGCTTTGTCTTTGCTTAGCTGGAGAACATTTTTGCACATCCACTCATTGATTTGCTCTATGCATTTACCCAGTGCTTTTATGGGACCATGGTTGCCTGGTGACATTGTAGTATATATTTGTGTCGTCTGCGTAGTTATGATAACTTATTTTATTGTTCTTTATAATCTGAGCTAGTGGGAGCATGTAGAGGTTGAACAGAAGAGGCCCCAGGATGGAACCTTGGGGAACTCCACGTAATAATAATAATAATAATAAGTAATTTTTGTTTGCTCAGATTTGAAGTTACCTATAGACACGAAGAAGTCCCTGTCCTTTAAGTAGGATTCAAACCAGTTTAGTACTATGCCAGAAACTCCCACCAAGTTTTCCAGTCGGTCGAGTAATATATTGTGGTCAACTGTGTCGAACGCAGCACTGAGATCAAGTAAAACTAAGACTGAGGTTCTGCCCCTGTCTGTGTTTAAACAGATGTCATTAAACACTTTAACCAGAGCTGTCTCAGGGCTGTGATTTTGTCTAAAATTTGACTGGAAGACATCGAAACAGTCCCTCAATGTCAAGAAGTTATTTAACTGTTGAAAAAACAGCTTTTTCGATTATTTTACTTAAAAAAGGAAGGTTTGATATAGGCCTGTAATTGTTCATTATTGACTTGTCTAGATTGTTCTTTTTTAATAGTGGCTTGATGACTGCTGTTTTCAGGGCCTGTGGAAAGACACCTGAGAGAAGAGACAGGTTTACAATTTGTAATAGATCTGGAGCCATGACTTGGGAAACTTTTTTGAAAAAACCTGTTTGCAGAATATCAAGACAGCAGGAGGAGGAATTTAATTGTTGTATAATGTCCTCCAGGTTTTTTTTGCAGACTGACTGCAGTATACTGTCGGTCATAAACCCTGCCTCCGTCCACATGAGCTTTTTTAGATAGATTAAGACGGACTAATATTCATGGTGAAACACGTGAACAACCTTACAGAGCTCAACAGGGACCGCCTCATCAGCATCAGTCATCAGTTGGGAAAAGCAAAAAAGTTGGGAGTCACATACTGTGGAGGTTGTTGTGGAGAAGCTGGTCTGGGGCCAGAAGTATATATTTTTTAGTCTGGATGGAGGGCTGCAGTAAAACGTGATGATGGCTTAATACTGAAGAACTAACACATTACAGTAGCACCGTAATGAAGTAATGAACAGACCTGCTCCATCGGAGGTTTCAGAGCCTGAACATGAAATCTTAAATATAAAACGAGATGCAGTCAGTTGGAGAGGACATTTTTTTTTATATTCAGTGAACATTCAACAACTTGAGCGTTGGTCACAATGATTACTGTTTCCTCTATTGAGTCTCTTCACCCCAGAGTGGAGAAACGTGACAGCAGTGAAGGGGAGGGCTAATCCTCCTCTAACCCCAAACTCTACTCCCCCCCTCACCCCCTCTATGAACATGTTAACCAGGGGTGTGCAGGTCTTAAGCTGGAGGAGGACTGTGATTCTCCTCAATTTTGCCACAATCACTTCTTGACCCCTCGGGGCCCAGCGAGCGCCCTCTCAACGGCCCAATTTGAAGAAGTTGATGACACACACTTTACACAGAGCAGGGCGTCCCCAATTATACTCCTGATTTCCTCTTCTTGTGCCATTTCATTTCCATGCTAAAGTGCTGGCCAGTTTGATCCCTAGTTAAGCAGAAGTGGCCATTTACCGGCGGTTTAGCGAGGGGAGTAAATGTCAGCCGAGATAAAGGCCATTCAGTTTGCACCTTCACTGAGTCATTGCCACTAGTGTTGTGTAAAGATGAAACTGTTTTAAGTATAATTACAGTTATGTAGTGAGGCAAAGATTTGTTAAAGAAAAAGTTGTATTTTTGAAATGAGGACACTCAGCATCAGTATCAGTAAGGACATCCCGTCTCTGTCTCAACAGGAAGCGAGAGGAGCCAGAGGGGCATCCAAAGCGAAGGCTGCAGCCACAGAGGTGGATGAGGAACCAGAAGAGGAGAAGAGGAAGTCTAAACCTGTACCAGCTCGCAACGCAAGAGGACCTCCCATCACTAAACCTCAGTCCCAACAGGTAGAATTAGAACAACACAGTTTAAACCTTTTTCCCAAAATGAGGCGCTGCATTGTGTTCCAGCCAACTCCAGTGGTCTTGCCAGTGTGGCTGGAACTTTCTCTCTTTTTGGTTTTCATACTCTGTCTCTCTCTCTCTCTCTCTCTATCTCACTCTTGACTCTTCAAGGTATTTTCTCTTCTTTATATTTTAACTTTTGCCCAACCATTGTCCAGGAACCAGTGATTCAGAAACCCTTATCTATGATGTGTGCCCAAGTGTAGTGAGCATGTTTGCAGGAGTGACAGCAGTGAAGCTGCCTTTCAACTATGACAAATATGTATCACAGGAAAACAATTTGAAACTATAACTTTATGTTACTGATATTTGATGTTTAGGGCAGTTTTTTAACTGGCCTAAGTAGGGTAGTAGAACCTTCAATCAGCTGGCCTGGAGTCTTTGAGCATCAGGGACACTCGGCTCACACATTAAGCTCCAACATCAGGGCACATTTAGACCATTAACACAGATGTGTCACATTCTGGATATAAAGAAACCCAATCATCCGGTGAAACAATGAAAAATAAGTCAATAACAACGTTCTGTTTCTGTTCCCAGGAGGACGATGATGCTTTACCAACTGTCAGCAGATCACTGAGGCCAAAGAGGGGACCTCGGGTGAATTATAAAGAAGATGACAGTGAGGATGAAGAGGAGAAGGAGGAGACGGCCAGACCCAGACCCATACCTGAATGCTATTTGAGAGGCCCCCCAATAGGCCCGAGAAATCAACCAAAACAGGTGTGAGGACAAGAAAGCTGCAACGCTAAAAAAAACTAAGACAAAAAAGGAATCATTTTAGATGTTGTATTTTTTTCACCGGTAATCCTTTAAAGATGCCCAAATCAGAAGAGTTTTTTTGTTATGACTTGTTCTCAGGAAGGTTGCAAGGAATGACTCGTGTATTAGTTCAATTTTTCACACTTTATTTACTTTAGTTCAGAGATTTTGTTGTTAGTGTCATGAAGAAGCAAACACATAAATGACCTTCTTCAACAGGAAACTAAATCCAACTGGAGCTGCTGGGAAGGAGAAAACCTCACTGTAACCTCAGAGCGACGACTCTGCCCACAAAGGAGAAAACACAAACAGTCAGAATGTAAAAAGGAGTATCAATCATACATGGACTCTCATGAGCGATTCGATGAAAGGCTGCTGAACCACAGAGACCGCTACAGCTATCAACAGTGGTGGGACAGCGAGCACCGAGATGGCCGCAGTGAACGGGGAGAGTCTGCTCACAGAGGTACAAAACAGGAGGCTGATCCTGTGCAGCGAGGGGGACTGTGGTCTCGGCTCATCTTTGTGAGCGTCTTCCTTTTCCTGGGTGCGGTTCTTGGAGTTTGTCAAAGCGAGTTTAATCCCTTTTTTTGAGAAGGAAGGCAAAGTGGCACCTCAGGACTTCTGGGCCGCCATTTTTACAGTTATGGGCTGAAATGAAAAGAGAACCATCATTTTAATGTGAAACAAGAAGTTCTGATCAATTTGAACCTTGGACCTTTTTTTTTTTTTATCTTTAGATTTGTTGTAGTCTAAAGGACTGATGGATACAGAAATGTATAGAAGTGGGAGGTTGCTTGAGTCAAGAGTATCAAAAAACTGAACCTAACATGTCTTTCTTTGTCTTTCTCTCACTGCCACTGGGGCACATTGACAAATACATTCATTCTACACAACACATTAGCCTGCTGATCTACCACCAACCAGACGATTGTTGGTGATTTATTTTTTGACTATATTAAGTAAACTGAGGCATTTATTAGGAAGCGAGTTAAACATATTCCTGGTATCTTTTAGTTCTCTGGCTTCACTAACCCAGACACAAGAGGTCACGCTGAACGGTCACATGAAGTCGGTCATCGACTCCATGAAGCAACCCAGAGTTTTTTTGAGTGCCTTCACATGAATGCGTGATCATTCAGATCATGGGGGGTCAGATCATGTGATCATAAGATAACATCTGTCTGTAACTTTGTGTTTTTGCTGCTGCCTGTCTTGACCAGGTCTCCCTTGAAAAAAAGGTTTTTAATCTCAGTGGGACCAACCTGGTTAAATAAAATAAAATAAATTGTGGGACGCTATCACTTTTGTTTATATGAGATTAGTGCAATAGCAGATGTAACCAAACTACAGCTGGTGATAACTTTGCAAACTGGACTTTTTACATGCTTACACATACACAGTGCTCTGTGCTGACTCATTGTCTCACCATCAGAGACAGTGAGAGGTTCTCCCTCTGATTTATGTATAAAGGGCTTTTGAAACTGTCTGTGAGCCTTACTTCACTTTTTAGTGTAGAGCTTGTTTTGTTTTCATTCTTCCTATTTCTGGTACTTCACCTTTCGATGGCTTGATATCCCTTAATGATAACTTGAAGCGCCCCCGCCCCCGACCAATAAGTGTGTCCAACTCCCAATCCCCCTGACAGCATGTACTCCTATAACTCTATTCAGTGCTCAGATTTATTTTTGTGGCGACAGTCTTGGATGTCATACGGAGCTGATGAAAACTATTTATAATCAAATTAAAAGCGATAAGTAGAAATAATTTTATGTCAACAAGGCTTTTGTGTTTTCTCATTTTCTGTTTAAGGATGAACTCAGTAAAGCACACTTTAATAACATACATTCACATTTTCTTCTGTAACATCATCCAGGAAAGACAAACTCTTTCAGCTCTCAAGCATCTGTTTGGTCAGTGTGTGTTTCTGTGTACAAACAGCAGGTCAGTCCCTGACAGCAGAGTTAACCTTGAAGTTATATTGCTGACCGAACACCCTGCTTTGTAGTACAGGCCTCAGGGGTCTCACACACACACACACACACACACACACACACACACACACACACACGGTCTCACACACACGGTCTCTCACACACACACACACACACACACACACACACACACACACACACACACACACACACACACACACACACACACACACACACACACACACACACACACACACACACACACACACACACACACACACACACACACACACACACACACACACACACACAGTAAAAAAAGAAAACCACCTGCATACTACAAGGCAGCTGTTGAACCACAACTCCTGTCTACTGCATGTCAAACCACAAGAGGGATGTTCCTGTTTACATTAAGCATCTTAACCTTGCAAAAATCTCTATATCTATGAGGATCATTTACACAATACAATAAGAGAGATTAACATCCGGCCCTTTTTTAGATCCACACTCTGTTATTGGACATGCTTAGAAAAAAATACTTCCCATTTATCATTTCGTTTTGGGTCGAAGTTCCGATTTCATCGTTTTCCTTTTTACGTTCTCGTAATGTAGACCAAAAATATGAACAAAAATGCAGCCGCGGTTAAAGAAATTCCAGAAGTTCCCTTTAATTCGTAAGTGTAGCTAAATGTGCTATGAAGGATCGCTTTGTGGAAAAATGAAGAGGGCACTTAATTCTAACTGGACTGCGAAACGAAGGACTTGGGGAAAAACATACTCCAAAAATGGTATGCATGAGTAAGAAGTGTGTTTGAATGTGGCTCAATGGCACGCTGTATTCACAGATCTCTGTTCTTTTACTTTCTAACCAGCTGGAGTAGCTGGAATGAAAGTGACGGAATGCTGCACATTGTGGTGAACGCACTCGGCGGGCTTTGAGCGCAGAGAAGGCTGCGTGATGTATGGAGCGGTGCTAATTAAGATATGTGAATATCTTTTGACTCTACTGAAGGCCTTTGAGTGAAGGCGGCTGTCAGTCACATTCAGGCTGAACACACATACCTTGCTGCAGTAAGGACACTCTCCAAAAACAATGTTGAAGCTCTGCCTGCTGGAGGGCAGCGCTCGCAGCCACTGAAGGAAAAGGAGGGGGGGAAAAAAAGACAGCTTTATAAAAATCATTACCTTGGATTTGATGTGTCAGTGTCAAGTGATAATAACGCTTGTTTCAATGCTCACTTATCACTGCACACTTTAAAGGAATGTACAAGATTACCCGGTACTTTGAAGCATTTGGAGGGCTTTTATGTGGAACTTTAGCATATTCTCCTTCCACTTGTTCAAGGCTTTTAAAAAGAGCTCAGTGTTATACACAGTTTGACTGGATAAAGAGTCTATAAATAAAGTCATCTCTGTTCACAAGCTTGTTTCCTGTACAGTCCTGTGTCTTTACCACGCAGAGCCAGACAGGACGACATGTGTCTTAACACTCAAATCAACCGTACCACACCTAACAAGGACTCATGACTTTGTTCTGATGTGTTTGATGGCCTTTATCTTCAACCCCTGATATGATATTTTGGTTATCAGTGAAACAGGTGGAAGAAACTCATTTTCCTTTTGATGTAAAAACATGTCAAAATGTTTAATCTCCAAATAAACAGAAGTTTCATATTGTATACTGTGTGAAAGTTCTAGTTTGTCACTTCAGTCCCCTGTTGAACATAACAACAACTAAGACCTTTGACCTTTTAATACTAACCACCTACTTTCCTGAGAGCTCTTGAGCTCTCTTAGGCTCCTCAAGATCGTCGGTTGACGGCCTGCCAGAACAAGGAGGCTGTTTCGTCATGAGCCGGGGATCCGGCCGAAGATTTCTGCCTTTTAATAAGACAGTTTTTTCTTACCACTGTAACTTTTGCTGCTTTGCTAAAGTGCTCATGATGGATAGACCGGATCTTTGTAACATAACAATGAGTAAGGTATTTTACCTGCTCTTTGTAAAGTGTCTCGAGATAACACTTGTTATGAGTTGACGCTATACAAATAAAAATTGATTGATTGATTGACCTTCCAAAAATACATTGCTGACCTGTTCTGACAAATAAAATAAAAAGCTACTGGAAGAAATATTGTTGCATTTTTCAACCCCCCCCTTATCAAAAAAGAGATTAGATTAATCTGCTCATCAATTTTATAAACTGATAATCCAGGGGTCTCAAGAGAGAATCATGAAAGTCTGATGTTCTCCATAGTGAAATAGTTTGACTATATGATGTCATGTTCTGATTTTGATTAAGGATTACGTTTTCTGATCGCCACATCGAGTCCAGAATTAGAGAAACTCTTTGGAGAACATTTTAAGTAATACTGGCAGACTTTGAAATGACTGTGACAAAGACTTCAGAGTTAAATCAGTTTCTCAAATTCTCACAGATGTTCTCACTGCTACTAAAACTGATCCATCATGTCTGCCATACATCGACTGATTGATACATCATATCCTGCTCGCTTATCTAATACATGGTAACTTTGAGCTGAAGAGATTACCTGATCCCATGATTGACTGAAAATTAATTGGCAACAATATCCTATCACTGTCAGTCAGTTTAGAAGCCGAACGATCATTTTTAAAACATCCTGTTGGTTTCTCTAACTCTGTGATGGACGATTTATAAAACATCCTGACAGTTGATGAAGCAATCGATCAATAGAATAAGCAGCTGATCAGTCAGTGTGTCTTTTATTGTGGGTAGATGCTGCTCATCGGGGTGGCAGGAGCTCAGTCTGTGAGGACCTGGGTTGGGAATTGGAGGGTCGCCGGTTCAAGTCCCGATGTGGACCAAAGTATGGACCACACTGTTTAGCTGTGTGTAGCAACCCCACTGTGTGTGTGTGTGTGTGTGTGTGTGTGTGTGTGTGTGTGTGAGAATAACAGTGTAAAAGCAGAATTTCCCCTTGGGGATTGAAAAAGTATTTTCTAAAAAGATACAACCCTGTGTACATACCTCATAAAGACAGAGCTGGTGGAAGGGCTGGCCACAGCGAGGGTCATTACACACTTGATCAGGGATCGCAGCTTCAAGACGGTAAGCATAGCAGATTCCACACTCAACGCTGAAGCTCTGCACACACACACACACACACACACACACACACACACACACACACACAAGACATATTCAGGATGCTTTCTAACATGCACCATGGTTACACACACTCAAAGGGAATCCTAGTCATTCTGAAGCTGGGCCTCATGTTCCATGTTTTGATGTGTTAATGACTAATAGGTACAAACCGTTTTTGAATTGTTCCACTTGATCACTTAAGCAGGCGGCCCCTTAAATGAGCTGTAATTTTCTGGAAAAGTCATCTCTCAGGGTGAAAGGAATATATCCACTTTAACTTTGTCATAAACAGACTCTGATTTATATCCAGAGCCTCTGACAACTCCACAGAAATGATCCCTTAAGGAGAATCATTTGTTACAAGGGATGTGCATATCAGAAAGTCAGTGGCAATTACAAAAAAAAAATTGTGTTCTAATGGCGGCTATCAAACAGCTTTAAGATACGCTGTACAGTAGCTGCCATCTGGCGATACTGCTGCATTACAACCAGGACCAATAATGGAAAAAGATATTTCTATATTTAAGATGAGATGAAAGTCATGTGATCTCTTAGATTTCCGTCTGTTTGAATATTGTAAATCATGACTCATCTTTACCAGTAAAGTATATCTGGGTTAAAGGAGAAACAGCTGTTCCATTGGTTTCTTCCTTCTTCACTCCTTTGCAGAACAAAGAGACTGTTAATGTTTTACTGTGTGACTTTGGTGTTAGATTTGGGTAACTAACACACAGTACCACAAACTACCTGGATCAAGACAGCAGTAGACGAGCATGTCCCGCCTTCTACAAGGAGAAGTTTCTGTTTAAAATCTTCTGGCTTTGAAAGGAGCAATCTAAAGCCACGTGTCCAGCTAGTGTCTTTTTTAAAATATGTATTCAACAAGGAGAGAGCGTTCACAGCAGCAGGCGGCCGCCCAGAGAAGAAACGCAGTGCCCAGTGTCTTTCTTCTGAGCCTCTTTTTGTGCAGCTGCTCCGAGTGCTCAAGTTGAAAATCTTTTCAGAAAGGTGCTGTTGACGTCACAAGCGCTCTTTTTCTAATGTACCATATTCCCCATAGTTTTGCTGCCCACAGATTGTTTCTTGTACCCACATCCTCTTTGATCCTTATCTGATCAGGAAATAAGGATTCTCCTCGTTTGGCGGAGGAGAATCTTTTTCTGGTGTGTTTGTACCTAGAAGTCATCTAGACCCCGAAATGTGTTGAGAAAAATACCAGAATTCCCCTTTAACACTTTAACACGAGCACACAGTCTCGCTTTGTAGCCACAAAGTGCTGAACTACCTTTAAGTTAGAACTGCAGTGCTGACATCACCCTGGCCTGTACCCCCCTGAGCTCTCTCTCTCTCTCTCTCTCTCTCTCTCTCTCTCTCTCACAGGCTAGGGTTAGCCTCTCTCTCTCTACCATCGTTTGCATTTCGGGGTA